GTCAGGTTTTGTCTTGGCGTACACAACGATGTAATCGGCATCAGGCCCCTGAATTATGGAGAGGAAAACGTTAATGTTCCAACATTTCTTCTGGCCACCATGCATGGATGCTGGTCAAGTGCATTGAACGGTGAGACTCACGTTGGTAATCCACATCTTCGTACCGTTGAGCAGATAACCTCCATCCACTGCCTTGGCAGTTGTCTTCATGCTGACAACGTCTGAACCCGCAGAATGTTCTGACATTGCCAGCGCTCCAACCTTCTCTCCGGATATAAGACTCGGCAGAAACTTTGCTTTCTGCTCCGGATTTCCGTTCAGGGAAAGCTGGTTAACACAAAGCTGGGAGTGGGCGGCGTATGATAGGCCAATGCTGCCTATTACACGAAAATAGCACATGATCAACGGATATTCTACCATGTATCCCAACAAGTGGCGGATATGTACGCACCTGATGCTCTGCTGATTTCCTCCAAAACCACACAGTGGGCTTGGTAGCCCATTGAGAGGCCGCCATACTGTTCATCCGCAGTAACACCGAGGAATCTATGCGACGAGAAATAAAGTAAAAATTTGGCCAAGACCCTCGTCACAACAGTTATGTGTCCTCATAGTAACATACCCTGCTTTTCCTAGCTTCCCCCACATTTCAGCGGGGAAATTATTCTGAAGATCTGTCCGGGCAGCAACCTCTTCCGGAATCTCTCGTCCTGTGTAGCATGCTAGCATTAGACCCTGTCTCTCTCCCTCAATGGGCTAAATTCCTCAAACATGTCACATGGTAATCCTACTTGCGAATTCTTGCACACGCTCTCTCAATTCTAACAGATCGGCATTTGTTGGTGGCACGAAGCCTTGTGGATGTTTTGTTGACGCTGCCCGCCATGGTGTCGGCGGAACAATCTGCCTTCGCGATCTGTTGAGAGTCCTGGAAGCGCGGCCAAGGAGACGAGGGAGACAGGGAGAAGCCATGGTCGGTCCGGCGATCGAAAGGAAGAAGCCTGGCTGCAATAAGGGTAAATAGAAATAGAAATATGTTGTGGGCAGTAAAGGAGAACAAGAGCGGAGAATATCTAACTGGATGGATGGAAAGCATATCTTGGCGTTTCATCGGGCCATCTCCCGAACCCCAGCTTTCGCTTGCCGTCGGCTGAAGTTGCTGCGGGTCACGGGACCCTGCAAATCCCTGGCGCGTTGATAAACGAACGTATCACCATCATGGAAACGATGAACTTCACAATACAAACGGGCTGTTAACATATCCCAACATACCCAGCAGAGGGGTTACAATTGTGTAGGGGCTTAATTCTCTTTGCACTGGCCATGATAGAGACACAGTTTATCTAATTCTAACTTCATCCGTGCCATTGATTGAAGACCCGCTTTATGGCTGCTTCAATCCGCGCTCCCTCCGCAATGCTCCTCCGCAGCCTTCGCACCGCATTGGCATCCACCCGTCAACTGCGAGTAGCTGGCACCCGCGCAGTATTCCTCCCCCGCCAGGTGACAAGATCAATTTCCAGTTACACACATACACATCAAGCGTCAGCGATATCCGTTCTCCCCACAGCCGTGGACACTTCCTCCGCAGATTTCAAGGACAATGCCGCCCGGATGGACGAGCTACTGGCCAAGATGGCAGATCTGCATTCCACAATTGCTAAAGGCGGCCCCTCGAAGGCAAGGGAAAAACATATTGCTCGCGGCAAGATGCTTCCTCGGGATCGGGTTACAGCATTGATTGACCCAGGAACCTCGTTCCTCGAGCTATCCCCGCTTGCAGGGCACCAGGTTTACCCTGGGGAAGATGTGCCGTCGGGTGGTATCATCACTGGCATTGGGACTGTCGAAGGAGTTGCATGTATGATTGTGGCAAATGATAGTACTGTCAAGGGAGGCACCTATTATCCTATCACGGTTAAGAAACACCTGCGGGCACAGGCAATTGCCCAGGAGAACAAGCTACCATGTATCTACTTGGTTGACTCCGGAGGGGCCAACCTTCCCCATCAAGCCGACGTGTTCCCAGATAGAGACCATTTCGGACGAATCTTCTTTAACCAGGCCAGAATGAGTTCCATGGGCATCCCCCAGATCTCCGTAGTCATGGGACCATGCACTGCTGGTGGAGCATACGTCCCCGCCATGAGTGATGAATCCATCATCGTCGAAAACCAAGGAACCATCTTCCTTGCGGGCCCACCGCTAGTTAAAGCCGCAACAGGAGAGGTTGTATCTGCGGAAGACCTTGGTGGCGGACGTCTACACAGCTCCATTTCCGGTGTCACAGATTACCTCGCCGTCGACGACGCGCATGCCCTCGTCCTCGCCCGCAGATCGATATCAAACCTTAACTGGCCCAAAACCGCCCTCTCGCTCCCAGCCACCTCAACACCCTCGAAAATCAAAGAACCCCTCTACGACCCCTCCGAACTCTCCGGAATCGTCGGCACGAACCTACGCCGCCAAATCCCCGCCCACGAAGTCATCGCCCGCATTGTGGACGGCAGTGAGTTTGCCGAATTCAAGCGTGACTACGGCAGCACGCTCGTCACGGGCTTCGCGCGCATCTACGGCACGCAGGTTGGCATTGTCGCCAACAATGGCATTCTCTTCTCCGAATCCTCACTCAAGGGTGCCCATTTCATCGAGCTCTGTGCCCAGCGCAATATCCCGTTAATCTTCTTGCAGAATATTTCGGGATTTATGGTTGGCGCTGATGCGGAGAAAGGTGGCATTGCGAAGAACGGTGCTAAGCTCGTGACCGCCGTGGCGTGTGCAGACGTTCCTAAGTTCACTGTTGTGTTTGGTGCTAGCGCTGGAGCAGGTAACTATGGAATGTGGTATGTCTTAGTTTTGATCTAATCTTACCCCAGGCTCTCATTTCATTGATCAATTTGCAGACTAACAGTCTAACCAGTGGCCGCGCCTACTCACCACGCTTCCTCTTCATGTGGCCCAACTCGAAGATCGGAGTCATGGGCTCTGAACAGCTCTCTTCCGTCATGGAGGCGGTTGGTCGCACGGCTGATCCGGCCCTGAAAGCTCGTATTGACGCGGAGTCCGAGTCTATTTTCTCTTCTGCACGGCTGTGGGATGATGGTGTGATCCCCCCAGCGCATACGAGAAAAGTGCTCGGTATGAGTCTCGCGGCAGCATTGGGTGGCCGGGTTGAAGAGGTGAAGACGAAGTTTGGTGTATTTAGGATGTAATTGTTTTCGTTTAGACAAGATTATAAGTACAACTTACGGATGGATAGGGATGATATTTCCCTGCTTCCTTCATTTATTTCATATTCCTTTGTTTTTAAACACTCTTGTGCGTAATTATATAGATATCTTTACGACATTCCTTCCGCATACCCTATAACTAGGATGAAGTATATATAGGGGCTGTGTTGGGGTTATATATACCAGCTGTTTCCTTGTTATCTAATCGCAGTTTATTCTCATTAACTACCAGTTCACTGCCACGTTCAGAGATCAACTTGTTGCTGTGGAGAGTTTCGTGACTTGTAATATTCGTGAACAAAAAGATATTCGTCTCAATATTGATCAAAATCATAGGTTCCTTCTAATGAGGCTTCCACTGATGTACCTAAACTCTCTCCCTACAACGTCACATGGATTCTCACACTTATGTGCAATCACCAAGGTACAATCATCCCATCAAAATTTCGTTTATACCCTGGTGTTTGAGTTGCACACTACCAAAGTTGGGCACAGTAAACTCTTCCGTTCCCTGCTGCCAATATGAGATGCAACCTGTATTTTCCATCGAATGAAAATGAGTTTCAAAGTAATATATCTAAAAACTAATTCTGAAGAGACCGCCTCGATTATCCCTGTCCCGTTCTTGTTCCGGTGGAGTGGTATCCCTGCGAGAAATATCAAACGTATCATGTAACAAAGCCAAAAATAAAAATAAAAATAACTGATGTGCAACGAAGACATTCAAATTCAATCATAAAGCACACCGCTCCAAGTCTAAATAGAATCTTTCCCAAGCATTCCTTTCACGCGCTAGCAAAATCGTCATCCATTTCCCTTGCAGAGTTTGAGGGAAAGAAAATACCGCCTGTAATGAAGACATACACTGTGTAAACGTGATCAAAAAGAATTAGAAAAAAATTTGTCTTCAACCCCCCCATTCGGCATCCTTTCCCCTTCTTGTTATGAAAATGGCACAAAGAACAAACGTGTCTTGGACATTCAGGCCAATAATGGGCCAGCTGGAGTTTTGGGGACCAGACGCAACGTCAACAAAAGAGAAGACATCCTCCGTACATGCAACCATGGGTACGGAACTCACACACCGACGCTACCGTTTCCGCATGGGTAGAGACTGTCGTGTTTTCGGCCAGGCAGGCATTGAGTTCTAGTCTTGCGCTTGGAATTTATTTTCTGGAACGAGATAACCCTCCTTTCCGTTAATTTTCAACAGGGAAACTCTACACTCGTCTCACACCATGATGTGTTGAAAAGAGAAAGTAGAAAAGAAAAATAAATATGAAGCATGAAAGAAGTCAAGTATAAAGTAAATCGAAAATATAATCATTCATGTGACGTCAGATCGCATCAATCGATCCTGGAGTAAGTCGGAAAGATAAAAAGCACCAAATGAGAAAAAACAAAAAACAAAAACAAAAACAAAAACAAAAACAAAAACAAAAACAAAAAAAAAAAAAAAAAAAAAAAAGGTATAGGAAAACAAAGTGGAAAAGTCACAAACCAGAAGCAAATAGAAGAAAGAGAAGAAAACCCCTGCCGTTGCTTTTATCTTTTTTGATAAGCCTGTATGAAAATCCAGCATGTAGCACAAAAAAAGTAAGGAGCCAAATAAGTCGTTAAATAAATAGAAAAGCAAGACAGAATGGGTAGAAAACTATGTATCACATATATAGGGGGAAAGAAAGGAAACAAACACAAAAAGAAAAATAGAATGTGGAATCGGAAAGGAGAAACCAAAAAAGAGTAAAAGAGAACGAAAAAAAAGGGAAACTACAAAATCACACAGTCCCCTTTTACCTTCGTTCTCCTCCGATGGTTCCGTAATCGGCCATGGTGTCGGCGGTGTCTGTCCGCACCACCAACGCCGCCGCCATTCCTCCCATTCATCGCCAGCTCCATACTCCTCTCCTGACTCGCCTGTATATCCTTCCTGATAATTTGCCGACACAAATCAACAAAAACCTCGTTAACGTTAGCACGCCGTCGGGCAGAGGTTTCATAATATGGAGAGTTCCCCCATTGCTGCGAAAGGGCGAAGGCACGCGATCGCGAGACGGCACGGTCTTCTTCGAGGTCTGATTTATTTCCGACAATGACGATGGGGACGTTTTCGTCGTCTTTTATTCGGATTATTTGTTCGCGGAGTTCGGCGAGTTCGTTTAGAGAGGACATGGAGGTTATGGAGAAGACGAGGAGGAAGCCTTGACCTTGTTTCATGTAGAGTTCTCTATGGTTGCAGAAGGGGTGGTGAGAAATGTTAGATTTGGGTTGTTTGATGAGAAGGAGTTGGGGATGTATTGATTCTCAATTGTTTATCTGGGGTGAATGGAGCTCGCGAAGAACCCCGTGGAGTTGGTATAAGGGCGCAGGGAATATCTACCTCATAGCAGCTAGAAACGGGAAATTAGATCAAAATCCGCATTTTAAAAATGTAGATAAGGCACTCACTGAATTGTTCAGTTCCCGCAGTATCTAATCTGCACAGCTGTCAAATTAGCCGTTCGTCCATACGCCTCTGGAGCATGAAAAGCGATTATATTCAATATTCGACTCTTTTCCTCTCCTCTCGAGGTAATCCTCATTGGGAATCTCGACTTTGGGGCTGAGTGGTTTAAAATGCCGGTACGTACATCTCCAGTATACATTGTCGTCCCTAAATGCAAGAAGAAAGAATAAGAATAAGAATGTGAATAGGAGCTTTAACAAAACTGGCTATGCGCAGAAGAAGCCGGAAATATTGCAGTGTTGCGCTCACATCCACATCAACAATCTTTCGGTATGAGTCTTCAATTGTAGGGTCGTAGCTTTCGATCCAAACATTTTGGACAAATTGAGCTATGGGGAATTCAAAAGCGTTAGAGACGCGACTATTGATGCAATAGATTTAACGGGATAGAGTTATCACGGGCAAATTGAGAAGAGGGGATGATGCAGATACCTGTTAGACAGCTCTTTCCAACACCACCTGTACGTGATTAACAGTCCTCAGCATCAGCAATTGATATTCCTTGCATGGGGGGAAAGGTTATGCTATTTTGTTTTCCTCATACCAGCTCCAAGCACCACGATATGATACTCTCTTCTTGAGATATATAGCGCCAAACGTCAGCCACATTTCCAGAGTTTACAGGATGGATTGCGGGACGGGCGGATAATATAAAGGGAGCTTCCATACCGTGGTTGTAATCTCAAGCTTGAAGTCATTGTCATCTTGCAGACGATATTATTCTATAAATTGTTTTGTAGCCGGAAAGTATAATAATAAGACCAAGGGACAAGAGCACGAGCCAGCTCCGGAACTACCAGGACACGCAAGGACCAGTTGGGATCGCGTTGGAGGTATGTGATGCCAGCGTTGGGGAGAGGGGAGGGGAATAATATCTCGGAGAAAAAAAAAAAAAAAAAAAGAAAGGAAAATTGATAGCAATAAGAAAGGCCTGGGGGAACCTGTCTGGCTGGCGGCTGGCGGCTTGACCCTGTGATAAATTCGTGTTTTGTGGCGGAGCAAGCAAGTAAGGTAGCAGAGTAGTTTTGGTGCGCAGGGCAAAAGAAGTGTGAGAGAACAAGATTCCAGAGACAACCCGGTCAGATTTGCTTCTTTACGGGGATTTTCTTCTTTGAATCCTTGTCTCGCTGTAGCAAGTGCCAGAATTGTTGGCAATTGAATCGGGACGGGAAAAAATATTCCTTCTTGGAGTGACTGTTTGCCTCAGTTTTGATGATGAATTTGTCCTGTCCACGTGGAATTCTCTTCCAGATATCGGAGTGATGTAGAACGAAGGAGAGGAAAAAGACGCAGTCTCCCACCAGCTTCGTAAGCCTCCGCTGAGAAGTCTAACCGGATAACCAGATAAACCAGAACAGGCACACACACCCAAACCCACACACACACGCACATACACACATACACACACAGAGAGAAGGTTTATTTATGCTTTCCGACTGCAATGCCACCTTCAGGAACAAAACTGGACCCTCAGCTGCGGCCTCCCGCGACAGACAGCACGTTTAGGACGAGGGTCACGGAATCAGCAAAATGCATGCGCGTTACGGGTAGCGCAGGAAGGACAACGCCACGACCAGGACAAGGATCCAGGGTGTTCTGGAGTCGCAGATCAGGAGGGGCGAGGAGACGAGGGGGTCCCAGGATAGGGCAGGAGAGGCCCTTAGAATTATTGTCAGGATTGTCAGCAGCACTGGCAGCAATTGGGGAAACTCGATTGGCGGAGTGGGACGGGATGCAGGAGGTTTTGATCACGTTGTTTTTCTGGCCTGCGAATGGGAACTGGTGGAGAGGGACTGGGGTTGACGTGAAAAGTGGAGTGTTGAGCTAGGTTGGTGGTAATGATGCTGATTGCGGATGGTTAACAGAAACGAGCTTCGGTATTGGTAACGGTGGCAAGCGGAGGGCAAATCGGTAGAGAGATATGTTGATGGGGATGAGGGAGGACGAGGACCAGGAACGGAGAATAAGCACCACGGTAAGGTAAATATGGACAGATGGGACGGCTGATGCGAGAGAGCGGTGTGTTCCGTGCGGGGATATGGTGAGATGTTAATATCAACCACGGAGCAAAAGCCAGCAGCAATTGGTCACCTGGCCACCGGTGAGACAACAGGAGGGATAGGAAAATATGTCGAGAGAGATGCAGATCGAGAGACAAGAGATGAAAGGAATTTGGAGGAGGAGGAAATGGCAAAGAAATATATAACTATAGATATATATATATATATATATGTAAATTACGTTAAATCAAAAGCTGGCAACACGCGGAGAGAGGTGGTGTGTATAAAAACAAAAAATAAAAAATAAAAAATAAAAAATAGAAAAACACACCAAAGAAAAGACGGGTCAGGGAGGTTTAGTTAAGTTGGGGAATCTGCCTGTATCTCTTGAATCATCGTGTGCACCAGGAACCGGTTCAACAATTAGATCGGGATAGGGTTGCGGTTAGCGGAGAGCGAGCGAGCTACGGTGAGGATGGCCCTGCACATCTCCGCCAACCACCTGGAACCAAGACTCCAAAAGACAGCTACCAAGGTTTGAGCGAGTCTTTTTTGGCTGTTTTAGCTGCCGGCTATGATCCTATCGGAGCCGGTTGGCAGCTGTGGGTCCTCGCACAGCTAGACCTGGAGAGGTGTCGGTGCAAGCTGCTTTAGTGGACCGAAATGGCATGAAGGATCTTGATCTGAGAGTATCTGCTTCAAACCTTGGAACTGATCGATTCCGGGCGGATCTTAAGGTGGTTATTCTTCAGTATTAGAAGTTAGAACTGTTTAAACTAATATTGCAAACCTTGAGAGCACCTTTTTTTAAACACCTATTTAGTTATCAATTCCTCTTCCCTCCCGCCACCCAACCATAAATCGTTCTGGGGCGCAAACAGAAGACAGTTCGCTAGTCACAGAACAGCGCTGGAGTTATCTTTGACTAAGAGTCTTCAGTCAGTCTCTCTAATATTATGATCGAAAGAAGAGTCTATTTCTCCACCGGACCAGAGGTGTGGATCGCTAGAATATTTGCAAGGCAGACGTAATTTCTCACGTGGTCACGCGTGCGTAAATATTGGCCTATCCAGCATAGAGTTCCAGGATCTGTAATAATTGTCTCCCAAAGTCCACGTTACCAGAACTTTTCGGCAAGTCGGGAACTATGGGTGGTCTGAGACGGGCCTGCGAAAGTCCAGAAAAGCGCGGATCTTGGGATCTTATGGACAATCGGAGTGGTGTGAACTGCCTACCAATCAATTGTGGCTGTGATGCACAAAATATATTGACTGTTAGCAAGTCTACAGACAGGTTTATGGGTCTCATTCTCGCTTTTGGGAAAACGTATAATATGGCATTTGAAAGCTAAGTAGGTAGATTAACAGTTCAACATAGGAAATTTTGCTGCCTTATTTAAAGGAAATCATAAGATTGGTTAGGACCAGTAACAAAAAAAAAAAAAAAAAAAAAAAAAAAAAGCCTTTTTTAGAAACGCAGTAGATTCATTCCTTCCACACTGCCCTGTGGTCAACAACATACTCTTCCGTTGCGAACCCTATGTGGATACGGTTCCTTACGGTGTATAACAATGCTTACATGGGCCCCGTTCCAGCAGATCCTCAACGGATAGTAAGAGAAATTATTGAAGTTCAGAGCCTGTTGCTTGTTTGAATCCACCCAGGACATTCTGGATCAAATATGGCGTGCATCGGGGTAGTAGTGGTTTCAATCTGCTCTGGGGATAGATGTCATGATGCAATTAAGCAGTCAGTCTAACGCTGTTTCTACTTTTCCACAGCTCAAGAGATTTTTCACTGCCTCGGTCTCTCCCACACTTACATGTCACACTTAGCCATATGCTCGGATGTCAAGAGGTGCTCTGCCATCGGTCTCTTTGCGCCGGCTCTGGCGTCATGCTATCTCTCAGCATTATCCTCTGGT